ATGTATATTTTTCGATTGTAAAAAGAAAGGATAGAAATTTCTTAGTTACCTAATAGAAATTACAGACAAGTTACAAAATTTGTACAAGCAAAAGTTGTGGCAAGTTTCTATATATCTTGTTATTTCAACTGTGGTAATTTTATGTTGACCTATGAATATGTTATAATATATGTAACCAGGTTGGCCAAGTACACGTAACAGCAATTTTATTTTATTAGATCGGTAATATATTTTATTATAATTTATGTATGTGACATTTTGGATTAAAAATTTAATCATAACCTTTATGATTATCCTTCTCATTGAATAAATATTAATTTTACTAGAAATAAATGAAAAGATCTGATGACCAGTCAATTTAAATAGTTTAAATAACATAAACTTAAGTTTTAACAATTATTATTAATAATGAAGGATCACATATATATACATTATTACAAATTTTAATACTTATAATTACCCTTCTCTCTGAATAAATATTAATTTTACTACAAACAAATGAAAAGATCTGATAACCAGTTAGTTTAAATAATATAAATTTAAGTTTTAACAATTTTAATTAATAATGAAAGGTCACATATATATATACATTATTACAAATTTTAATATTTATAATTACCCTTCTCTCTGAATAAATATTAATTTTACTACAAACAAATGAAAAGATCTGATAACCAGTCAGTTTAAATAATATAAATTTAAGTTTTAACAATTATAATTAATAATGAAAGGTCACATATATATACATTATTACAAATTTTAATAATTATAATTATCCTTCTCTCTGAATAAATATTAATTTTACTACAAACAAATGAAAAGATCTGATAACCAGTCAGTTTAAATAATATAAATTTAAGTTTTAACAATTATAATTAATAATGAAGGATCACATATATATACATTATTACAAATTTTAATAATTATAATTATCCTTCTCTCTGAATAAATATTAATTTTACTACAAACAAATGAAAAGATCTGATAACCAGTCAGTTTAAATAATATAAATTTAAGTTTTAACAATTATAATTAATAATGAAAGGTCACATATATTATTACATATATTATGCATTATTACAAATTTTAATATTTATAATTATCTTTCTCTCTGAATAAATATTAATTTTACTACAAACAAATGAAAAGATGAGATAAGCACTCAATCTAAATAGTTTAAATAATATAAATTTGAACAATTACAATTAATAATGAAAAGAAAAATTTATTTTTCTATTCTTTTTCATCACATATCTACACATTATTATGTCATATTTGTTCTATCATTATTAAACAGATATATTTACAATACATAACCTAATCTCAAACAAACAAAATTGCACGTACTTATCCATTCCCACCGCGTGTTCTAATTCATATGCAAAATTCGTTTCAACATTGAACTTTATTCCTAAGTTCGTTGGAAAGAAAAAAAAAATTTTAAAATTGATCATAAACGTTTAAAGATTATCGACTGAAAAGAAACATACAACTATAAAAATTCAGTTAAGAAAAATAAATCTTTCGTAATTTCGTGTCTCGTTCATTTTTACAATTTTTTACAATCTTTCGACTATATATTAAAAATGTACAATTCAAGTTTCAAACGTTTCTTTTTTTTCTTTATATTATTTCATATTTGTTCTACCAATATTAGATACATTTGGTACACGACCTAACCTCAAACAAACAAAATTACATATTACTTATTCATTCTCATCGCAATTTCTAATTCATTCATATGCAAAGTTCATTTCAACATTGAATCTTATTCCTAAGCATCCAATTATTCCACAAAAAGGAAAAAAAAAAATTTTTTTTGAAATTGGTTATAAAACGTTCAAAGATTCGATCGAAACTGAAACAGACTAGGAGAGAACTATTAAAATTTCACTTAAGAAAAATAAATCTTTCAAGTTTCGTTCATTTTTCACCGATTTTTACCGATATTAAAAATTCGAAGAATCAATGAATTATGAGATTGCACGGGACGCATATCACCTTCTCGAGCGATAAATCGGAACCCTGATTCAGAATCCTCGAACAACTTTCCACTTGACGATCTACGATCTATAAATATCTCCATCGCTGTTTGCATTTACACGTGCATTTGAATCCTCGTAACAGCATATCGAGCGACAAGTATCATCCATAAAAAGGATGTGCAACACCCGAATAATCTTTTTCGCAAACGACACAAAACTATGCCAAATATCGATTCTATAAATCGTGTAAAATTTATCATACGAAACGAAACAATATATTTCTCGCGTGTCAATTTTTAAAAGATTGAAAAAAACACTGCTGCTCGCTTATTTTCTTCTTATCGCAACGTGTATGCTATGGTGAATTACAAACTTGATGGAGTCTAATGTGCATGCGTGTAGATTTAAATAGGCGTTTCAATAACAATAGTGCAATAATTAATATTAACCAATGAAATATTACCATTGTTAATAAGAAAATTTTTAAGTTTTGAAATAAGTATATTTCCAAATTTTTCACTGTTATCCAAAATGAACGGATACTTTTGCAATTATAATTACTTTTGTAATAATAAATGGATATTTCTCGTTTTTTTACATATATGGATTCTTTAAAATTATCGACACGTTTGCACGTTTATACATTAAATATTCAAAAAAAAAGGAAAGAACAATCTTAACCTCACTTTTCGATTCTTATCTTCGAGCCTGGAACCTGGTTATTTTTAACGAAACCATAAAACTTTAAAGGCCTTGTGTAAAAAATTCGTACAACGAGTTAGTTTTCACCGAATGATAGAAAGGAAGTCGAATTTCGAGTGGAAGAAGTCGCGAAAGTCGCCAAATAATTAGCCAGCTTCGTTTAAATAATTCTCACTGTCTACGTCTTTGCGCGTGCTCGCTCCACGCACTCCATTTCCATTGTTTAAAGCAGGAGAGGAGAAGGAGAAAGCAACGCGGTGATTATTGTACCGCGAGTGATTAATGGCATCGCACACACGCAGCGACTCTCCTTCTTTTTTTTTCTTTTCTCCTTCTTCTCTTCTTTTTCTTTTCCCTTTTTTTTTCCACGATTCGAAACCTTCCATTCTTCGTTTATTCACGAAGTGCAACGATCCCACAGACAGAAGCGGGACGAAGCGATCGATACGTTTCTTATTGACCCCTTTTCCTTCGACTTTTGCCACTTTTTTCACGCGGATGTCAATTCCTGCACGTTGTATTGCGATTATGAGTCGTTGAATTGAAGAGTTTGAGGGGGGGGGGGAAGTATATATATATATATATATCTTCAATATTTGTCAATTTTAAATGTAAAAATGTGTCGTTGGAAAAATTAGTATTGCGTTTTATCGAGATAAAAATATAATTACATGTAGCTGTTTATTTTAATGACATCACTTTAATTGCAATCATTTGTATTTAAAATATAAAAGCTGAAATATTTAGATATTTATTATAAGTCAATAATTTTAGTATAGATTCTAATGTATCGTTTAATTTTATATTATATTTTATTATAGTTAAAATAGAGAAAGATATTGTTCAAAACAAATTTTAAATATAAATGATTGTAATTATATATATATATTCAGTTATTTATTACATATACTTCTAATATTAAGTTAGATTAGATTCAATTTTTTTTATTCTATTCTATTTTACTTACGTTATTTAATTTTACATTATAGTTTAGTTAAAGCAGAGAAAGATATTAACTAAAGAATAAAATAAGGAAGCCATAAAAAAAAAAAGAATATTAGATATTATATCTACTCAAGAAAATATTACTATTATTACTATTATCACTAATAAAAAATAACGGAGAGGTTCAGCTCGAATTTATTGTGCATTTCACGCTAGAATTGGCTCGAACAATGACAATTTTCTTCCACAGTGTACTATACCATATTACACTTCGCTGCGCTATACCATAATATATACACTATACACTTCTTTACCGACAAAACCGTGCACGTTAATGGAAGTCGGTTGTGCAGCGATAGAGGCCTTTCACAGGGGTGCCTTTTCCCGGAAGCTTTTGAATCCTCGAAATCTTCGACGCTTCTCTTTTAATCTCTACATTCCCTTTTCCCTCGATCCAAGGTTCACTGAACCCCAAGAACGTGTTTTACGAGATATTTGGATTTTTTATGTTACGCCCTTTTTTTGCCGGAGTCGAACGAAAACGAAACGTTGCACGAATCGAAGAATTTTTATGCGATATTTCTGTACGACTTTTGAACACATTAAGTGATTTTTTTTCCATCTATAATAATAAATAACAAAATTATTAATTAATTCTCTGGGTATCGCTTCATTTCTTTAACAAAAAATTACGGTAAATGGTATTTATCTCGATCAGACGCTGTAATTACGTGATGATTTCACTTTTCGTATTGTTTCTTTTTCTAACTCGATACACACTAAGTTGTGCAAAAATGTTGTCATTGATAAGAAATAATAATAACGGCAAATTAATCGGGAAATGATAACCGTTCTGACGATTAAAGGGCAAACGTTTGTCTTTAATAGTCATATTCAACGAGACGGTTTTTAAACCAAAAGTCCAGCAAAGGTCAACTGCTTCTATTTGTAACTCTGCAATGGAGTGACCAGCGGGATGAGAAATAAACGATGAGGCTATTTTTACGAGACCTCAATCGCGCGAATTATCGGGTTAATTAATGATAACTCGAACGCGCGAACTTTTACAATTATGGTTATATCGCGTAAATTTCTTCCATCTCTCGTTAGTGATGGGTTTAAATATCTCGCGAGTATATTTGAACATTGAAAAATCGAAATATTTCGATACTTTCGTAATGGAACAGCATATCATTACGTTTCTATTTATTTTAGAATACTTTTAAGCGAAATTAATCGAATTTCTAGAAATTCGTGTAAAATCATTTTTCTTTGAAAATAATTCTTGATAATAATCCAATTATTAATTTTCATGTTGTTTAAACTCGACGCTGCTTTGAACTCATTCGTACGTTGTTCACTTGCACACATCGATCGATCGCTACTTAAACCCATTACTTACCGTCTTCTTCGAATCGTAATTTTTCCCGAACAGATAACAATTTGTCAAGTTTCACGATTGGCGTGCACGATGAATGAAATCACAGACGGCCGAGTTGCAGACTCGAGGGGGAGAGACCTCGACATAATTAAAATCCACGCACTAATTAAAACGGGCGAGAGTCGAGAGGGATTCGTGGAAAGTTCAAAGATTATTCAGCGACGCGTGATGCCAAGTTTTTCTCGGCAAGTAGGGTTACATTTAACACGAGGTTAACAGAGAAGTTTAACCGCGCTATTTATTACCTTATCTTATTTCTTATTTTTATTTTCTAAAAACACCTTTTCCTACTAATTCTGCTGATTTTAAAGGCAAAAAATTATTTAAAATTTTTGCTCGATCGTATTATTATTTATTATTTATCATTTGAATTAATTTTCATTACAATTTAAAATATAATTAAAAGAAATTCTGTCAGATGGAGATTTTACGTGATTTTATACTTTTTACAAATATATGATCGTACGATAAAAATTGATATACTTTATTTAAATTATGAGAACGAATGTGTATTTTATTTCTTTTCTTATCCTCAACAAATTTATGCAATTGCTTTCTTCTTTTTTTATTGCGAATCTTCTTCTTAATTTTATTACCAATTTAAAATTTTCAACGAAACAATTCTCAATCCTGAAATAATAATTTCTTAATCATAAATGACTTATTATCAATTTTTAAAAAAAAAGCGTGTCTTTCAACCATTATAATTATATATTATTTTTACAAGTTTTTCTTTTTTCACGAATAATACTTCGAATAATTTATTCGACGCTCTCATTTACTCGTGTTTCTCAATCTCGTATCTCGGATTAAATACGGAACGAGCTGATGATTCCAAACTTTTGATAAGTGTAATGTAACGCGGCTGACGCGAATACCGGCGAATGAATGAACGCGTTATGCGGCACGATGGAGGTTTTTTTTTTTCCAGGTGTTTAGGCGTTTTTTTTCTTAGCCTGGGACGATAAGATCGCTCGAGTGGCGGCGATCCTAATTATTTTGCGCGGTGTGATTCACACGGATGCGTGCGAAAATGGAAACGTTATGAATACAAAGAGAAATTAAAAAAAAAAAAGAGAGAGAGAGAGAGAGAAGGAAAGGAAGAAAAAACAATTCAGAAAGTTCGAAGCAACCGTACATACACTTTCTTCGTTTAATTTATGAACGAATTCATAACAGGTGGGCCTAAATTGATCATCCCGAGATTAGGATAATAATACAAGGAATCGTAGGATTGTTATTTACAATTTACAAAGAATTCCTTTTTTTTTTTTTTACACCCGTTTTTCGCTATTAAATTAAGCGGGAAAGATAGTAGTAGACGCGATAATTGATATCGAATATTATATTTCGTGACGATCAACGAGAGATATCGTCACTGCTTTTCATCCCAAATGAAATTTAACATTGTTCCGTCCGTAGAAGGAACAATGAAACGACAAATTCGAAAAGAGAGAACAAAGCAAATACAACTCCACGTTCGTCCGTCCAGCGAGAGGAAGATCCAGATCTGGAGAAAAGGTTAGAAATGAGCTCGTTTCGAGGTTTGAAATCGCTTCGTGGAAATCGTGGAGCGATTCTATTAAAAGCGATTTGCCAATTAAGAGCGAAGGCCGTGCCTTGAAAGGCTTTGCAAGTTCGCACTTTCCCCCCTCCCCTCCTTTCGCGTGCGAAGGAAGTTTCGAAGGAAAATCGCGAAAATGGCGGCGACGATGTCGAAAAGTCGATCGATCGATCGATCGATATCATCGTGTAATCGGCGGCCTCGAGACGCGTCGAGAAGGATTTCTCTGACGACCGATCGCGGGACACAGCGATAAATTTCTTTCTCGTCACGCGCTACGCACTTTCTCTGACAGAGAGTTTCTATATTAATATTTTTTCGATCACTTTTTAAAAACAAAAAGTTTCTCTTTGAGTGAACGTCGATCGGCTTTCCCCGTCGCGGGAGCTTAATCTCTTTTTACGCTTTTAGCAGGACAATAAATTGACCGGTAATTCGCCACCATTTGCAATCGTCGAAATATGAAATATATCGAGAGATTGCGCGCTCTGATAATTATGTTACACTCTGTGTGTATCTGCAATTTATAATTTTGATTAAAATGATGCTTTATTATCGTGTTAATTTTACTGTTTCTGAATTATTAAAATTATGAAATATTTAAAATTTTCGTCTTAAATTATTAATTTTAATAATAATGTCGTTTAATAATTTTTAGAAAATTTCATAACAATGTTTTCTTTATCTTATGTCATTGCATTATTTTAACAGTTGAGAAAATAAAAGGAATTAATATCGTTCCTGACGACAAAAAATTATATATCTATTGAAAAAAATTTAATTCTTATTTAAATCACGTTAAGATTTGCCTTATCTTAGTGTTCTTCGATCGATGTATGCGTGTAAAGTATAGTTTATGTAATATTTACTACTACATTTATAAATAATATTAAAAAATTAATTATTATATTTAAACGGTTAACATTTTTATCCAATCTGTGTATCAAAGTAACGATATGAAAGAAAAAAGTTTGTTTGAATTTTAAAAATCAATTATCAATGTTCACATCGTGAAAAAAAAAACAGAGAAAAAATTTTTAATAATAAATCGTAACATTCGAAATATTAAAATATCTTTATTCCTTTTAAAACTTGTCGCAACAACGACAAGAATTTTTAAATCAAATTCTTCTTATCCCAATGATTATAGCATCTCGTTAATTTAAAATTTAAAAGAAAACACTGGTATCTTTCCAAACTAAGGGACAATTAACAAACTGTATCGCACCTTTTTCTCCCCTCAAAGACACAACAACTTACCTGTCGAAGCAAAAGAGAGAAGTGGATCCGGCAATTAGTGGCGCTAATTGCCACGCGAGGAAAGCTCGATTGAAAGTCAACATCGTTAAAAGAATCCGACAATTGGAGTCTGGCGAATTTCGATCGACCGAGACGTGTTTAATCAACTGTTAAATTATAAAAGCTGTTGTTCAATGTCTCCTTTCAATTTCAATTCAGGTGTTCACCATGAATTAAAAATAAAAATTTAAAACGCGTCGGATATTTTATATATTTTTAAATTTTTGTAAAAGATTAAATACGATATAAGGATTAATAATTTTATCGAGTAATAAGATTTATTGATAACATTATTTAAATCACTTTTATTAATTTAGATTTATTCTACAGTTGAAATTATTTCGATGTGTTATAATTATCTATAATAATTAAATTATATGTATAATTATATTCCTTTCCGCGCGTCAAGCTCATTCAAAATTAGCACCACCGATCGATCGATATGCGCGGCCAGTTTTTTGTGCAGAGAAACCACCAATCGTGCTCCTCGACAGATTTACGTGTCACTAAAATCGATTCTAATAAACGTCCATTTCTCACCAGTCGCGCGACACTTTCCTCGAGCAACCGGATTAAATCGGGAATCACGAAACATTTCGGTTTTGAAACGACACGTTCGCTTTCCATCCAATTGGAAACAAGCTTATCTCGCTTTGTAACGAATAAATTTTAACGGGTTAAATATTCAGGCCAGATTGGGATTTTTTTTCCATCGACCGAATTCCGATCTTGCTTTTACACTCGCGTGTAAAAGTCAATCCGGATGAAATATCAAAGGTTTAACCGTCAATTGAGTGAAACTCGAAATTTTGTTCGATTACTCAGAAGAGTTGGAGAAAATTTGAAATGAGTGAAAACAAATATACGAGAAAATTGAAATATCTTCATGAGCAAATATTATTCGAAGATACGATTTCATTTTATGTTTAAATTATAGGCAAGTGGCATTTATTATTTACACTGGTTTTGATATATATATATATATATTATTTTAATAATAAATATTAAATAATATAATAATTTTTTTCCGTTTAATTGAAATGCAATATGTATTGAAAGTGATTATATTCTAGTTTTTATCATAAATGAATTTTGACTACTTTTATATTGCAATAAAATATTTCAAAATAATATTTTTATCAATATACAATGTTATTATTTTAGAATGATAATGATAAGAAAATTATTATGCGTCTTTGTTCAAAAGCCACGTGACATATTTATCTTATATCTATTTAAAATATTATTTTTAATTAATATTTCAATGAAAAGTTTATTTGCAATATTTTATAAAGAGAGAGAAGAGATTATTGAAGATAAAAATATTCTTTCACGGTTACTTGATAATCATGAGAGATCTAAGTCGGAATGCAGTTTGGAGACGAAAGTTGTACATAACTCATGAAGAATCGAAGAGACACGATTCTAAGATGTAAGGTTTATCGAAGATTTCACTGAAGATTCAAGAAACGATTGATTTCTCAACTTTCTTAGTCTCCCCGTTCGAAGAATTTTAATATAATTACGCACGAGTTCGTGATAATCGTTAACATTTTTGCATAAAAATCGTATTCGTTTTTACACGCATAGCGAATTCTCGTTACACTTTGGTTTCGTTTCATTAACGACGAAATAATGATTTAATAACGAACTAGTTACGAAACCCATTGAATAATCCTCGCTTCATAAGTGAATTCTTTATTACCGACCGTATTTTCTATTCTATTCCAGTGTAAAATTGTTTATAATGTAAATTAAAATAAATTATAACCTATAAGTTTCAATAAGATCTCCTATTCTATAATATTCTTCTATTAGCATAAGTCAAAACGAATACCGTTATTCAATCGATACTTTCCAAAATTATTCAAAAAAATAATAATAATAATAATAATTTTTATTTTTATACTTTAAGAACTGTCATTGTGTCAAAGAATTCTTAAGAATAAATAAATAAAAACATCATTCATTATAACCTCAAAAATAATAACCTCAATTTTCGCCTTCACTTCAATTCCCCGAAATCAATCCTTCACGTTCAACAACTCTTTTTGAGAATAACTCTTCGATTCTTCCTTACAAGCTCACATATTCGTTAATATCGAGAGGATATGGCGAAAAACTTCATCACTTTCGAAATACCACGCTCACAATTAATCCAACCGCGGCGGCGTGAACTTCCGCGGAAAGAGAGAGGGATTCCTGATCGCGGATCGGGAATGAGCGAACCGCGGAACGAGGTGGCTGGCCTCGCTTCTATCCTCGGTTAATGAATCGGTCGTAGAACGAAAATGACCAAGGAACGAGAGCCTGTAACAGTGGCTCATTAGAGAGTGTACGTACTCCATGGCCAACGCGGCGTGACCGGCTTTCTCGTCTGTGCCGAGCATTCTTATTTCAACGTAAGAAGGAAATGCTCGGGCTTCTTCGCTCGCAGGCAAGGTCGGTCGTTTCTATCTGCGCACGCAGCCGTGTTGAAAAGAGAGAGAGAGGGTTATTGTACTTCCGACAGTGAAGTTAGCTGCGGCCTTACGAAGGTCTTTCGTGGAGACGCGACACCTTCGACCTCTCGAACGCTTTCGAGCGATAGAATTCATTCTTTCGATCGATCTTTTCTGTTACGTTTCTACGTTACCGACTAGCAAATTTAATATTATAATTCTTTTTATATCGAATATTTTTTTTCAATTTTGGTAGTAATTTGAAATTATTTTACAATTATTAATTACAGTTTCATTTACAAAGAATATTCTCCAAATCGTTAATAAATTGTTTTTTGCTATCTAAAAAGAATTCTAAATTCGGTTATTTTTGAATTTTATTTTTTAAACCATAAATTATAATTAAATTAACAAATTGTAAACAACTAAAAATGTTATAAATAAAAGCGATATTTTCTTTGAAAATTCGTTCTTTTTATGTGAAATTGAATAATAATCGGTTATTATACCATTTGGTTTTAATACACTCGTTCTTAATATAATTTTAATTTTTCTAAATCTGTTTTATTTTCATATCTACTTATTATGCAAGATAATTTTTTTTTAATACTATAGCTAGTAATTTGTGAGTTTTAAAATTTCACTAATAATATTAGTCTACAATTATGCAAGAGAGCTTTGAGTACCTTTAAAGTTGGAATGCTTACTTTAGAATCATAAGACTGTTACATAAAAGTATTAAAAGGAATAAAATCCGAAATTACATAGTTGATTAGAGAAAAAAAATATTTTAGGGAAAGAGAAAAGCTGTTAAATGGTTCATTGGACTGGGATTCGAAAGCCGGATCTTTCTTGCCGGACCACTGCTTTAACCAATTAAGCTATCCAGGTCGTGGACAAATTCTCTCCCTTTTAATATTTAAAATTGCTGCTTGTATAATTCTGCACAATATGCACATACAAAGTGATAACATTTATATTAACAGACTTTTATCTTCAAATTTAAATGGATATTTTAACCATGATATATTTCAAACATTAAAAATTATTCAAGTGTATATCATTACATTGAAATTATTTATTGTTTTAAAATATGATATCAAATCGTCCATAATCACTCAATTTAAATTAAATTTCAAACAAAATTATCAAACGTCTTATTATTAATCTTTATTAAAATATAAAATATTTATATTCAATATTTTTTATATAAGAATAATCCATTTTTTGTCATGCAATAATTAAATTAAAATTAGACAGTAATTGGAAAACATCACATCTGAATCTAAACCTTCTAAATCCTTTTCTAACCTAACCTCTTTTTTAGAAGATAATTTATAAAAGAAAATTCTATTGAAAAATTTACATTGAAAAAAATTTTATTATTAATGATTAAAGAATCTACCTACGTTCAAAAAAAATATATATATATAACTTATCCACTAATATAAACTATATCCATTTTAGGTGAGACGAGAGGAAATCACTAAAAGTTAATTTTAATAACCTAAAAATAAAAATTGAATTTCATTATGATTAAATAAAGAATAATGCACACACATACAATTTTAAGAAAGAAAATAACCAACATTGGAAGCAACTATTGTGCTAAAGCAACTGAAACGCTTAAGGGAAGACACACAGTTTCCAAAGACCGAGGAACAACGGTTGCACGTGATCCCGTTGTCACATTGCGCTTACGGTATTCGCGCAACATTTCCACAGTTCCCTTTGATCTTAACCATCGAATATTTTGAACGCAATTACATACGTACAAAGCTAAAGTTTGTTTAATTGGCGCACGAGTTATACGGCAATTATATCACGAAGCGTATTAATACCGCGTAATTAAAGATCGATCAACGTAGCGTCGCATACGTTATTAATTACGATGTACAAACCGTGTTTTAAGTTGCAAATGTGTACAATCCATCGTAAAAGTGTTTATCTTACAGTGAAATTCATCTATTGTGAAATACGTAAATTTTAAAACGGAAATTTATGCAGAGCGTAATAGGTTAGTTTTTAGGTTAGATTTTTATACAGTACAGAATATTTATATGGAAACACAAATGTCTGTTATTTTTGGATTAATGAAAAAATTTTATTAATATAAAGTTCAGTATAAAGAGAATTATAATATGATATTAAAATATATATAATCATATAATAATACATATAATACAGGTATCTAAATATTCTTGACTTTTAAAAAATTGAATGAAAATAATTTTATTAATATTGGTTGTATATAAAGGTTGTATATTAGGCATAGAAGGAGCTATAATATGAGATTAGAATAATCTAATTGAATAGTTTATATAAGGTGTCTCAAAACTTTGGAAACATCTCCATTAACTGGAGATTTCTGAAATAATTTTTGGCAATTTTTCTTTGCAAAAATTTTCAATTTTCGTTTCGGTTTTGTTAATAACGAGTTATTAACAAAAAATATTGACCACTATCACACGATACATAGATTTGTCGAGCCTTTATATAGAGTGATCCAATAAAACCAGTATTTATCTCCGTTATTTTTAGAAATAAAAAAAAACTTTACAATAAAAATTGTTTATTATAAAGAAGGCTACAATATGGTAGAAATAACTTTTGGAGGTTAGGAATTATGGATATTTCAAAGTTACGACTCCTTTTTCAAGCTATTTCGAAAAATTATTATTTTAGGAGATATTTTTAACTTTGTTAAATTTATTGTTCGAAAGACAAAGAAAGCAAGAGCAGAAAAATATTACATATTTCTTGTCTTTTACACGATAAATTTTTTTACTTTATAGTTCTCTCTTGTATCATTATGAAATTATATTTAAAAAAGAAAAAAAAAAACAACATTGAAACTTTGAGAATTAATTTCACTCTTTCCAAGTGATTTTTTTACTAATAAAAAAAAAAAAAATTAATCCATACTCAGAATGTTTTGTACAAAACATAATTATCGTTGATTTTGATAAATCAACTTAGATACTTCTGTGCACGTACATACGTAACACTTTACAAGATTGTTTCACGTACAAGTTGCCTTGAATTAATTTCACGTGCTCGTTCTACGCTTTTTCTGTTTCATTCTAATCGAGTTATCGAAATTGTTTCAATGTTACCACAGTTGATTAATGGCCAATCGCGATAAGAATTATGGAACGAGATCGATTGGATACACACGGATATCCATACTGCATAAATTGATTACATATTTTACCGACCGAGTAACGTTGTTTTTGACCTAATATTACGTCAGGTCATCCCCAGGTAAGTAATTTCGTTTTGAAAGTATAATTTATGTGGAAAAACAACTTACTTATACATACATACATACGTACGTACACCTGGATCTCTTTTTACGCGATACTTTTTTGCATGATTCATAGTTCACGTTTCGTTCACAATTATATTACGATTTTTCAATAATGGAATTACCAAACAAGTCGGATTGAATGGTTATAG